CCCTCTACCCCAACTGCCCGAGTTTTGGCATGTAGGAGGGAGGGATCTTTGTGGGGTTTTGTTTTTACTGGTCAGACTAAAAGATTTCTGTGTTAACCTCTTGATATTTCTGACTGTTTAAAACCAGGATTCCACTTTAAATCAAACCTAGCCGGCCCCAAAGCCTGAACCGGACAGTTCTGTTACTACTTTCTCACTGTTCCCATCGTGAAGCGTTGGCTCTTGGGCGAGTCTGTTCCTGCAGCAGCGGTGGAGCAGGGCTGCAGCCCTCTCAGTCTGGGCCAGTGGACTGCAGCTGCTGCGTCTGCTGAGCACACTGAGGTGTGTACGGGCTCATGGCCATTGTTTGACTAGAACAGTTAGAAACAGCAAGTGTCTGTGTAAGAGTTATGAAACTTCTTTTTTTAACCAGAATATTTCCCCTACACTGCTGCTCTTGCCTTCTTCTTTCGTTCCCTCCTGCTGCTGACTGTGTGGAGGGTTTGTGTGTGTTTGAGTAGAAGCGAACAGGGGTCAGACCCCGCTCTCCTCAGGAGAGGCTTTCTGCCGAAGCGAGGGAAGGAGCAGCTGCCTGCTGCCTTACAAACGCTGCGCTTCCATTATTGGGGCTTATAAAGGAAGAATGAGGTAGTAAAGATAGGTCTGAGACTTGCACATCCTTGATCAAGTCTTGATGCTGGTGCGCAGCTGTTAGGAAACTCCAAGATAATAATAAATAAGATCTCATGGTTGAAAATAGCACAGTTTTAATTTTGCCTCAGTCGAAGCTTGTTGCTATGACGCTGCAAGTATTTCAGTGTTTGGTGGTTTCGGGAAACCATGGAGACTGTATTTATTCTTTGCTTTTCGGTGAGGTGATGGTCCTGTATTAATTGATTTCTGTTGACCTCCAAAGTTGTCAGGGAACCTTAAAAACCAAAAAAACCCCCAAAATAAGTGGAAGGCATGATTTCCCTGAGGAGCTGTATGTGCTGTATGAGGTGACGCTGGCGTGCCCAAGCTGTCCTGGGGGGCTTTACTGGGTGGATTCTGCATGTGGTTCAGTTCCACAAATACCTCCTCCCAGAAAGCTGTAGGAACACCAGGCTGGTTCTGAGGGCTCACCACCCAGGCTCTCAAGCAACCAGAAATCCCAAGCCCTTGCCATACTCATTACATTTAAATTGCACAAATTCTTAGTGTTTTGTGCGCTTTGCATCTCTGGTGCGTTTATTTACGTGAGAGTCGGTTGGGTGATGGTTTCCCCCGCACTTACAGGGGAGCAGACAAGCGCAGGAGGATTGCCTGGAGCTGCACAGCCGGCAGGTTAGCGTGGGACTCCTACGCAGCCTCCCAGATCACACTGTCTAGCTAGCTCTTGGTTTTTTTGACTTTTAGTTTATGAATTTGGATTGTAAGTGCTCCCTCGGAGCTTTTACATACCAGATTGGACTTTTTTAGAGGTAAATAGACTGGGGAGAAAAGAGATGAAAAGCGAGATGGTTGTGAGCGCATGAGAACTCCCACAGGCCATGTGATTGCATTTTAGCAGCTTGAAAATAGGCTTATGTGGGACAAATCCTCCTTCCGTGGGCAGCCTGTGGCACTTGTTTGTGGCAAAGCCCATCTCGTCAGCAACTGCTTCTAACGTCTCTTTTTCATCCCTCCTGTGGGGTTTGCGTATGCCGGAGTTCTGGCTGGAGTAAACAGGCCACCTGTGACTCCGGCTGGCAAACATGCCTGCTACAGGTCGGGCTGCATTTTTGCTCCAGAAGACAAGCGTGTGTGGCTCTGCTGGGGTGGGCCCAAAGGCAAACCACAACTATGCTGCGAGCATCCAGACTGGTAGGTGAAGGCACACTAATTAACGCCAAGTGATGCGGGCTGACAGAAGGATGTCTTCTCCTTCCTTACTACCTCCTTATGCTGTAGTAGCTTCTCTTGGTGCTGTTTTTCCTACTCCCGTGTCTCCTCTGAGACAGCAGTTCAGCCTGCCCAGCTCTACCACTGATCACGTCTTCCCCTGCTGATCCTCTTGCAAAAACACCACGGGGAGGTGGCTCTACTTGAGCAGGAAAATGCTTTTCCTGCTCGGTGCCAAACGGACGCTGGTTGCACGAGTACCTCTTGTCTGTCATTCTTGCTGCTGGGCAGTGCCTTCGTGGGTGTGTTGGTGATGTCTCTTTGACCTTGGTCTTCCTGCAGGTCTCTTGCACCTCTGTGGAGATTTCAACTGGCATAAAGCTGTTCCAGTTTCTTCTCTTTGAGTTCTGGAACTGGATCTGGGTTTTCTGAAGGACAGCATAATCGCTTAAAAAAAAGAAAAAACAAAACAATTTTAGAGATATTTGTATGAGCAAACTCCACACATTGACTCATGCTTGGGCAATATCTCTTGCATAACCATGGTCCTGTTGGGTGGCAGCAATGATGAGCTGAGAAATGACTGTACTATCTGCACAAATCCTCACCCCGTGAAGTGGTTGTTCCTCACGGCTAAGATCCGGGGCTCTCTCCCACCCCGCTGTGGCCTCCGCTAAGCCAAGGGTTCTGCGCATTCTTGCCCAGCCCAGCCCAGCCCGCGCTACCCAAGCCCCTCAAATCTGTGTTTGTAAGCAAGAACCCATCTGGGCACGCTGGCGAGAAGGCTCCTTCTCCAGGCAGGCTGGGGAAATGCTCAGTGGTGGCCCGTGCCCTTTGGTGGCTGCGCTGGAGCCAAGGCTGAGGCGGGTGTCACCGGAGGGGGGGGTGTTGCTGCGGACGGGCGTTCGCTGCCACTGGATGTCACTGTCGCTTTGTGGCACCCCGAGCTCCGAGAGGATGGTTGAGGGGGCGGTGGGTCCCTGCGCTGAGCGACCTGAGGGTGGTGGGACCACAGAGATGGGTGGCGAGCAGCCACATCTTCCTGGGCAATCCTGGGGAAAAATGATTTTTGTGCTGCCAATGCTTGTGCTGTTTGACTTTTTTTTTTTTCCCTTTAACTTCCAGAGCCTCGGATAGCCCAGAAGACTTATTTCTTTATTCTCTCAGACTGAGATGTGGGGCTGGTTTCTACGGCTTTTGGCAGCGTTATGGGAGCCAGCAGATCGCAAATGAAAATGATGCTCTGTTCTAGCTCCGAGCCGGGAAGTGGGTCTGGTCTGGTATTTTCAGTAAGTCTGAAAACAGAGAATTGGTACCAGTGTTTAAATTCAGCTGTGGTTAGGGTTTTATTTTTTCAATTAAACAGAAGCTTAAATCCCAAATCTCTCAATCTGAGCTGAGTGGCAAGCAAGGCTAGCAGCTGGCGGCTCACTAGCCTCTCTCCTTTAACAAAACTCACAAAATTATCAAATTACCATGCTGACTACCTCAACTGCTTACTAATTACATATTGATTCTGTATTTTTATGCTCACTCATCTAAATAATAAGGCGTTTCCAAATAATCTATTTCTGTAGTGCGGAACGCGCCGGTCCCCCCCGGATCCACAGCCTGTTGTTTATGCTCTAGCAGGGAGCCGACTGCTGTTCCCTTCCCACAAAGGGCAAAGATGCTGATTTTTCTCCCACTTGTCTTGCATAACAAAAGGCATTTGTCAACCGTTACATAACGGCAGAATTTGTCACTTCTTCTGTCGGCCTCTTCGGAGGCAGCCTCGTCCCCAGTGCCATGTAGCCAGCAGGCTCTTGCTGGCTGCAGGTTGGCGCAAGCTTCTCAGCACGTGCCGGTGCATCCCGATAGCGCACGACGCAGCGTGACTCATTCTTGTCGCCCACCATTCAAGTTTTTTCCTTCTTTTTTTAATTTATTTTTATTTTTATTTTTCGTCTTTTTTTCCCTTCCCCCTTCCTTGGGAAGGAAGATGTGGAATTAGTGGAACTGCGTGGTTTGGTTATGGATTTTATTTAGGGGAGTGAAAGTATGGGCAGGTGTTTTCAGGGCGGATATTTGCTTTTTAATAGTTGTTCCGAGGTGGCTGTGGGGAGCCACGCTCAAGCACGTGTCCTGCGGGGCTTGTCCTCAGCTGAGGTCGTGTCCTGGGCTCAGCTGAGCCTCCGAGAAAGGCTGGGCTGGAAATGAAGCTCAGTTTCCCCCTCTGCAGCGCTCACAAGTTTAAGGGAGCAACAACGCCTGTCACCACCCGCCTCCCAAAGCTGCCAGTTGCTTTTTTTAATATCTCCTAATTATCTCGGGCATCTCATGCCAGCAACAGGAATTTGTGTTTGGTGTGGGTTTTTTTTCTTTACAATAGGTTTGATTTCCTCATTGTTGGAATACCTTATTTAAAAATAAATAAATGGCTTTGCTTCCCCTAAACTAAAAGCAAAAACTGTGTGGCCAGCTTCTCCCTTCCTCTCTAACTGGAGGAGAGAGGTGTTTACCTGTGGCGTCAAACTTATTTCTGGCCTTATCACTGCCAGCTGTCGGATGACCACAGCTCCCTTTTTAACATGAAGCAGTGGCCCAGTAACCCAACAAGGTCTTGCCTGCTGCTCTTTTCTAATTTACTCAAACCAATTCCCTAGCTGACTTTTTTTGTTTGTTTAATTGTAGATCTGTTTTAAATCACTTTTTAATAAGTCTCTTCAAGTATGTGTTTCTTGTGGACCTTTGAACTTCCTAGTGTACTCAGCCTTTGCTCAGGAGATATGTTTATGGTCGGCTGTGAGTGTGGTTAACCCGTCAGAGTCGGCGTTCTCTGGAAACTGTTCATTACCACTTCCTCGTGTAGCTGATGCTCAGGCACAGAAACCAGCTTTGGCAAACACGTGCTTTACCTGAACTAGTTGCTTGTTTTCAAGTTTAACACCAATATCATCGGATAAAACTGTGGATCAGACTTGGTCTAGTAAAGCAGGACTAGAAATAGGAGATCAGTAAATGGCTCCAAAAATTGTAAACCACGGCGCTGGGAACATCAGCTCGGCTTCCCAGAGCCAGGCAGGGAGAGGTGCTGGTGGCTGCAATAGCTCAGTGCCCGCCTGACGGTGAGCGCTGGCTCTACTGGCAGGATTTGTGGCCCTTGTTAAACAGACTTCTCAGTTGTAGGCTTCTGCCTTGACATAGATCGGCCCATGTAAGCTGCATGGTATAGTTATCCCCTTAGTGTAGCGGAAACGTCTTGTGGGGTAATTCCTTTCCTGTTTGCTCACCTTAACCTTATCCATTCGGTTGTTCTTGATGTACTTATAGAGCTTCTGCAGTTGCTTTGCCTCCATGTCTGAGAAGAGGGAGACGAACTGCCAGAACTTCCTTGAGAAAAGAAAGACATGGATTGCGTATGCAAGGAAAAACTTTGTCCTCTTCCTCATTCTGCTCCCTAGTTCTGGCGTGGCAAGTGTAACCCTTTGCACAGTTCTCCCCACTCCCCCTGCTTTTTTCCCCTCCCTCAAACTTAAAAACTTTTAAGGGGCAGGAGCCCATCGTGCTGGGAGGGTCACCAGTGCAGCACCACTTACCTCTGCCAGTGCTGGACTTCTGAGGCTTTGCAGTACTGCTGGAGGAACAGATCGATGCGGTCTCCGATTATGGTCAAACTTTCATTGATGTACTTCAGTTTTTTCTCTGTGGGGAGGTGCTGGGGCAAGTGCAGTTTCCTAAGTGACTTCTTAAAGGGTCTCAACAGCTCCTTGCACTGTGAAGAAAAAGTGTTGGCATAGGCGTTCAGCACTTCAAATCCAGGTCTCAGGCATTCCTTTTCACTAAATTATCTGATGAAATAGCTGGCTGGGAGAGCGCTGTACTTCAATGAGTGTCCCTGTGGTCATGGGGGAGCTGACACGGGCCTTCAGCGGGAGTCACTCCTCCACGTGCCAAGGTTGGTGACACCCTGAGCAAATCATACTGAAGGTGACTTGAAAAGGGAATTGAGGGATTTCCAAGGCTGGGAATTTCTTTTTAAGGCTGTAAGGTGAAAGCTATAAATTCCAGGCTACAGAAGAGCTGTTATTCTGCAGGGAGGGGAAAAGGGAACTTCCTTTGCTGCCTTCCTCACACGGCTTCTTCCCATGGCCAAACCTGAGATGTGTTGCAAATGTTTGCGCATGACACAGGAGAAAACACTTGGTCTGGATGCGCTCCCTTTTGTCTGTCTTTTTTGTGTCGGTTGCGTGCAGTGGGCTGTGCCTGGGGCTGTGTGGGGTTGTGCCCTGATGCCCCAGGGGTGAGAAGGTCCTGTCCCATGGTGGGGGAGGATGGCGTGAGACGGAGCTTTGGGGCTGCGTCCTAAGTGATGCCGAGGAACGAGCACATGGTGTCACGTGAAAGGATAACGTAGCAGTACTTGTTTCAAAAAACTGAACCGTGTGTGTGAAATGTGTATTTTGTTGTTGCTGTTTTGTGGCGATTTTTTTGTGGTTTTCTTGTGGTGTTTGTTTGGGTTTTTTGGAAGCTAAGCTGAATGTCCAGATGACTGGAAAACAATGATGAGTTCAAAGCTTTCAGAAGTGGAGGAAAGCTACAGAATGAAGTGTCTTGTCCTGCTTTTTAGCTCCCTCTGCCAAACTCCTGGGTTTTATTTGTTGAGAACCTGAGATGCCACTGACTACTTTTGCTGCTAAATTCTGTTCAGTATCTCACAATTTTAAAGGTGTCTTGATCAAGGCCGTCTGCGCAGCAGATGAGCAGGGTCTTGCATGGTGGAGCACTCTCAGCGCCCGTTACAAAGGCTGCCTCCGTCGCTGTGCCAGCCAGATCCTTCTCTGTGGGCTACAAATTGCCAAAGCCACAGGTTAGTGTCCCCGTTCAAACAAATTGTGCGTCTTCTCTTTAAAAACCAGCCAAGGACAAACCCTCTCTAAGGCTTAGAAACATTTCTCTTCCTGCCAAATCATTTCAGACTGGGTTTTCAGAGGTGCTTAATGAAGCTAGATATTCAATTATAATTAAAAGTCCATAAGTATTAGGTGCCTCCTTTTGGAAATCCTGCCTCTAATAAATTACAAGGTAAACAATGGCCACTCGTTCCTAATGGCGTTAATCAAATACAGGCTGGCAGTCACCTGTGAAGTGGAAATATGTGGTTACAATGGGCTCATTGTAGTGCCACTCTGCTCCATCCGCAGCTTTTATTGATGGCAAAGGTGCTGTGGCTGTCCTGCTGCAAAGCCAGATTGAAAACAAAACCAAATCCTCAGCCACCGAACCTCTTGAGCAACTCCCTTGTCCACGGAGGGGGATATTTTCACTTGCAAAGGGCAGTGGCTGTTTTCCCTGTGTCAACATTTGTGTAGGTGACTCCTCCACTCATCTTTTGGAAAGCAACACTTACATAACTGACAAACCACAAGCTTATGTTGCCTTTTAAAACATACTGAAGTGTGTAGGAAAAGAAGTTCTTTCCTCTCTGTCATGTTCTGCTCTCTTGGAAGATTATTTCTCTGCAAGTTTGATCCCAAACCACATTTCAGGTGCAAATTGAAGCTGGGCTCTCTTTTGCCCTCACTACATGCCGATCTCCCTGCCCATGCTCACCTGGCCGGCTGTGCAGTCCCTGCTGCCATCCCTTGCCCTGGCTCCATCCACTTCATCCCGAGAGCCCGTCCCCTCCATGGGACACACGCCCGTCCTCTGCAATGGTGACGTCTGTCCCTCTCTTCCCTGTGGCCTCACTCACACCAGGTGGGAAGGGAAAACTGCCACGGAGCTGCGTTTGGACCAAAGTGTGACCAAGGTGACTGGGGTGCCCAGATACTGGTTCTGAGTTCCCCCAAGTTCCATGGAGACTGCTGGGCTCCTCCAGCCCCACCATGCTGCAGCCTTCTGGGGCAGAGTCACCTCTCCCTGTCAGTTTTGCTGTTTGATTTTTTTTGTCCCAAAGACAGAAACCCCTGGATTTTCCCCTTGCTGGTAGTGGTTGGTGTGTTCCATGCTGGCAATGGCTCCCATGGGCAATGGGAGGGAGTGGTCCCTTGCTTTGCTTTGTACCTGTGGAAGCTTAGTGGAGTGTCTGGGGCTCTTGCCTGATGCTGGGTTTGCACCTGCAGAGAGTCCAGTGCATGTAACTATGCATAAGTCTGGATTATTTTGACCTCTGAAGGTGGTGCAAAGTGCAGCTCTGAGTCACGCGTGTAGCTCTGTGTGCCGCGTTGGCTATCTGCAAGTGTGGGTCCAGTTCCTGGTGTGAGCAATCACAGTTTTTCTCTGTCTTGTGAACCCAGCAAGTTCAAGACAGGCCTTTCTCCGGCTCTCCCACTGGACTTACTGAGCCGTGCTGTGGGGAAGCACGGGCCCCGAGGTAGGGGTCAGAAAACCCGGCTCATAAAGGGCTGGGAGCGAGTCAGTAACTGAGTCAGTCTCATTTGATGGGGAGTGGAGGTGTAACCAGGAATAGGGACCTTGGACTGCACCTTGGGGTTTTTTTGGGGGAGCTAGTTGGAGTTAAGACCTCAATTCCCGTCACAGCGTAATGGAAGTTCAGGGTTACCTCCTTCACCGCCAACCACAGTGAGATCTCACTCTTCTGGGGAACCTATCTTTTAAAGAAGATACTCTCCTTTTTAGGAAGAATAAATCGCACTTGCCAGGAAGAACTTGGGAAAGGCTTGGAGTTAAAGGGACTTTGGTTTGGAAATTTACTTCAAGGCAAAATGCTTTCACAAAGAAAAATGTGTTGGGCTCCCATCATGCCCTGACCAGTCAGACAAGTGCAATTGTTTTGTCCCTTGGACAATTAGTGTAATTGCTGCAGCTGTGACTCAGCTGTGCTCCTGTGCCAGGTCGCTTCTGGCACCAAGAGTCATCTTGAGGGCTGTACAAAGGGCCCCTCTCTCTGAGGTCCCCCCAGCCCGGCTGTGCAAAAGGACCGGCACTGCTCTTGGCACAAGTTTGGACGGTTTTTGGTCAAGCATTTCTCTGCAGCCAGCGATGCTGAGCACCTGCCAAGCCAAGTGCCCGGTACAGGTAGTAGCCTTGGGAAAGTACTTATTGATGGGTCTTGAAACATAGACAGGTTCTTATTTTCAGGCTGTATTAGGGAGTTTGGCCTTTACACATGATTGAATTTATTAAAGACAAAAGTCCATTAAGACAAGCCCTCCTCTTAAGATGTTTGCCACATTTCCTCTCCTGTGTCTGCTTTCTGTCTCCCCCATGTCTGGAATATTGCTGTCAGCCTTCTGACACAGGAGCCTTGCACAGGCTGGTGCTGGGCAGGCGCAGAGACAATTATCTTCTAACACTTTGCATTTAGGTTTGCGTTCACCATCTGAGGTAAGTTACAACTCATTTACAGTATGTTGTACGCTACATAACACGAGGTAAGCTATGCTGAGTGGAACAGTGGTGATAGCGCAGGTAAGTGTACCTATGCTGCTTCAACCTGGTTGTTCTAAGGACTATGTTAGGGGTGGTTTTGTTGAAGGGGATGTTGAAAATGCAGCTGGTTTCTCAATGCCTGCCACCCTCTTGGTGTGTTTGCTGTCTGCAATGGTGACGTCTGTCCCTAGTGGGGCAGGCAGCTTCTCTCCTTTTCACCTCCAAAGGTTTAAACCAAGAAGTTGGCAGCTTACGTGCTCAGCTCTCAAGTCAGGTAGCATGTTCCTGGCTAACAGGAATGCACAAGAAATGAAGTTTCTTCAGCACAAGCTTTCACATGCATTAGCAGCTAGATTAACTGCCCTTTAGGAGCTCCCGGAACATACGGTGGTTGTTAGCATAGGCATAACCGATATTTGCATGGCCGTATCTGTGTCCTTGTGAGATTACAGCTTCCACACAGCATGTGACTACAGCATGGAGTGGCTCTCTTGCCTTAATGTGTACACTTCACTGTTTTGGAGAAGGCCTTGAGCTCCCCTTGAAAATCCCAGACTTCGTTCTGCTTTTCAGTGTATGCTGCACTCATGGCCATGGCCATGAATATACAAGCCAGGCCAGCCTTCATCTGAGGAACTTGTATTTAGGAGTTGTCCATTAGCCTGGTTCACAGCGGGGCAGTGATCTTCGTATTCTTCTTTGGCGTTACTTGGTACAGTGGCAGAACAGGAGACTAGACAGCTGAGGGTGCCAAATTCATTTTTTTACTGTAGCACTGTACTGTAGTGTTCAAAACAGTACTATGACCGCTGAAGCTACAAACCTTTCCCATCTCTTGATTCCCTCAGCCCCTCTGAAAGACAACATGACCTTCTACTCTGAAGCCTACGGTGCTGGAAGATGGCATAACCCAGACCACATCTATGCAGATCTATCGGATTATACTGCTACTTAAGGACAGGAGTCCTTTGAAACAATGCTCTAATTGGATGGGAACAAGTCAGGAGTACAAACAGATTATGCATCTCGTATTTCTCCCTGTGAAGGAAAGGGAGCCAAAGTGCCAGTCAAACACACTGCATGGTGCACCTCAGGGAAAACGTTTTCTTTTCCCCTGACAGTTCATCTGTGAGGCTTAATTTCTACTATTTGAGTGTCTTTGTCGTCCAGGATCTGTGCAAGTGCAAACATTAACCAACCTCTGTAGTACAGCAGCTCTTCCAGTGCGAGAGTAGGCAGGTAGCCAAAAAGGAAACAGTTGTGAAGATGCTCTGTTTATGCTGCAGTTTGTTATTTGCTGGTTTAGGCAGATTTACCTTGAATACCATGTGTGATGTGATGAGTCAGGTTGCATATAATATATGCAGGCATCTGATGCAATATTTATTTACCTGTAGGTCACAGGGTAGGAGAGCTGATAAATGCAGATAAATATGCAGGTATTTTACACTATACTTTAACGAACTGCATGTACACGTGATTTAGTTAAACAGAAAACCCAAATATCGTTGCCAGATGTATTGCAATGTCCTGCTAAATAGGAATTGTAGTGAGGAATGTTTTTCAGGAACCTGTTCTTACCAGGAGAGTGGCGAATGCTTCATTTGATAATGATTAATGATACTCGGTGCAACTGCTCGAGGAGTACGGGCGGAGGCTTTGCTAATTGGATCTGGAAATTCCTTTCCTGGTGCTTAAGGATGATGAAAACCTTCACAGCCAACTGGAGACTTGTCTTTTCCCTGCATTTGGATGCCGATAAACAAAGCTCAAGTTAATAAATCTTGTATTAGGAGAAAAGATCTGAAAGAGATTTTGGGCCTAGTTATGGTTTATATGTGGCATTGTTAGAGGCATCATAATGTACCATAAGAGTCCTTTTTTGGTAAGTGTTGGGAGTTGCTCATTTAATCGCTCATTGGAATTAATGTGGTAAAGAACCCAAACATGATTTGTGACCAAAGTGGTGTGCAGAAGCCTTAAATACATCTGCATCTCTTTTAGCCATTTCTTGCAAAATCTGATCAGGTGTGTTCCGAGTATTCTCACACTGGATGACGCAGCTAGCCAAACCTTTCACAGTGCCCAAAGCTAGTAATGGCTAACCTTGTGTGCTGGACATGTCCTTCTCCATACGTGTATCTTCAGGTGTTCCCACGTTATTTTGTGCTTCAACAGTTCTGTAGATGTTTGTCTTTTGCATTTCAGTCGGCTGTTAGTGTGCTTATTAATGGTGTTTGCTAATGTCATATAACTATTTTTTAAGTCCTCGGGAACTGAAAGCGCGTTATCAGTTTCCTCCATGCTCTGGAACTTGCAGTCTGTGAGAAACAGGATAGTTAATGGCTTTCCTTTTATTGTGTTTCCTAAGTTTTGAGGGTTTTATGCAAATTGAAACAGGTATTGTTATTGAGATGTTAATAAGCCCATCCCTTTTGTGCTGCTTATAAAATCAAATCTATAACAAGTTGGGCATCTCTTAATATTGAAAAGAATTTAACTTCTTTTGTTAATCATATGGATCATGTAATACAAACTGCCCTAGGTGATATATGCCTTGCTCACTTCCTCTCCCTAACAAATTCACCCACCATCTTAGCAATGAATTGGAGAAGCCTGGAAAATTATGAGACTCTGCCAAAAGGTCAGCTCTACCTCGGGAATGTGGCAGAGGTTAGCATGGGATTAGCAAGATGTGCAGAGAGGCACCGAATGTATAAGCCAAATAGCAGCCCACAGCGTAGAGATAGGGAACAAACAAAACTGAAAACAACCAACCAACCAACCAAAAAGAAATGTGGGAGAGAGAGAACTTAAGCACTACTTGGGAGGGAAGAGAGGGCTTAAAAAAGTGACAGTGAGGGAGAAAGGTGGGCACCCTGGTTGCTCCAAAAGCCAGAAAAGCACTCTCCTAATCTCAGAATGGAAGTGAAAAAAAGGCTTGAAGCAGAGAGGGAGGGAGACAACCTGGTAAAGAAATGCTCATCAATTCAAGAATGCCTTGAGGGAGGCTGTACAGGATGTGCTGATGCTCTTTTCAGTTAGACGTAAAGCAAGCGAAGTCCTGGGAAAAATCCCACTTGTTCAGAGAGCAAAGTGCCAGCCCCTCGCTCACAGCTCTGTGCCGAAGACATGAAGCGAGGAGCTTGCAGATCTGCCTCCGTGTGTGCCCTGTGCCCTAAGGTCACGGCTCTGCCCTGGGCATGCTGCGTGCCCTCCTCAGCCAATGGCTGCTCTCCTAGAAGATTTTTTTTCTGTCTGCAATGGAGAGGAACAAAATAATAATAATTAAAAAT